GCAGGTTTCATTCTGTGACAGCTATCACTATCACTATCTGACCAAGCAACATCAGGAAGCCTGGTGTGTTGAATTCCTCAGTTCAACATGGCTTCACACCTCCATCCTGCTGTAAGGAACCACAAAACTCTTGCAAAACTGGCTCGAAGGAACATTTAATAGTGGCTCAACGAACACACGGGGAACAATGGCAAGTTCTGTGCTGGGTCCCGTTTCACCCTGCTGGGGTCCCTAAAGTCCCGCAAAGCCTCTTTGGCCGTAATGGGTTGGATTCATCCACCTGGATGGAAACAGTTGGATCAGGCTCCCACATCTGAATCCAAGGTGCGAGGTCCAAGCGGAGTTCGCAGCCCACATGGACATCGCCTAGGAGATGCGGTTCTAAGAAAAGCCAGGCCCACCAGCATTTAAATAACCACTGCGGGTGGGTAGGTGTGACTGTAACAAGGTTCCACATGCTCGCCTGTAAATTCTCTTAACTGACTGGAAAGCTCTACAGCTTTGATTTATGTCACTCATTTCACAACTGGGAAAAGAATAATTTTGTCACAAACGCCTGCAGAGGAATGTGGACCTTTGGTGAGCTTCAGGCTCAGCCTCAGCCAGGAGGACCAGCAAAAGCTCTTATCTTTCACTTCTTTTTTTTTTTTACAGCTGCCCTGCACATTGAGGGCCTTTGTGCTGCAGATGACTCACTTGGCGAAAGTCGCATGTCATGCTGCAGGCTGCGTGACTCAACCAGAATCTAGGGCCGCTGGTGCAAGCACCAAACCACTGGCCGAGAACTGGCGAGAACGGGTGCTGGCGGCTCCCTGGGCCGGTGGTGGTTCGAGCCCGCCCTTCCGCGCCAGCTGGATGACTGGCCCACACCTGTGTTGGCCCTGAATGTAGAGGAAGGGATTATTCATATACATGTATGCAACCTTTCCATACCTGCACCTGCTGGCTGGCAGGGTCCACTGCTTGGAAGGTCTATCCTGCACTGCCATCAGCAAGGGATTTTAAATCCCAAGTGGGGGAGAAACAATGACAAGAATAATAGCCGCATGCTTTTATAATGTTCTACAGAGCACACGCCAGGGGGATGCCGAAAACTCATCAAGCCTCTGGTTCCTCACTTCACAGAATGGCTGCAGAGAAGACGGCTACAATGGATAAGCTGACAAAGGCCACTCAGAGGCACACACTGAAGGAGGCAGGCTGCACTAGTACCAAGGCACAGGCCCCAAACAGGCTCGCCTGACCGTCCTTCCTCTGTGACGTCAGACGGACTGCAGAACTTGGGAGGGATCAAGCGCTATCCGACCTGGGGACAGTGGACTCATAAGAGAAGCGGAGGCACTGGAGTATTTTTAGAAGAAGTGACTAAACTCACACCTCGTGGGGGGCTGCGGGGTGTGGGGGGGTGGTGCGAAAGGGGGTTTCCAGTAGTGCAAGCTCTAGTTCTGATTGGTTATATTGGCTGAGGTACAATCCTGCCTTACATGAGCATCTTAAAGCAACACTACAAGACTGAAATGTCAGGGAAATATCGATACCAGAGTTGGGACTTTCAGTGTGTGTCACCTTCAAAATCCAATGACACTCAGCCAAAATGTCTCAGCAGCAAGGAGCACAGACAGGAGGTAGACATGCAAATTATACAACACCTGACAATTAAAAACATTACATATTTCCCAAGATTACTTATACAAAATAGCAGCCAATTCAAAACAAGCTATTCATAAGCCACCGTGCATCTACAGCTTTCCTTTTCAAAGTGGGGGAAGTTACCATTATTTGCATCTCCGTTGACATTGTCAAATTTAAAATTCTTGAGCAACCAAGTTACTACTGCTTCTGTCTTAGCAGCTCCGCTTACTCTAAGCCCGTTAACAGTTTACTTGGCTGCTCTCACTGGCTGCCTGAAGTATCCTCTCTACCTTAATCACTGATATTTCTTGTCTGGAATATGAGATTAGCAAGCAGAGATCCATGGCCATACATGTTTATTTAAAAAATTTAATACACATGCTGCTATGCCATTACCCAGAACAGTTGCAGCTAGGGCTGCACAATTCTGAAAAAAAAATGTGAATTGTGATTCTTTTGCTTAGAATTGAGATCACAATTCACCGTAATGATTTTTTTCCCCTTAAATTTAAATGTTTACTGCACTCATTAAACTGCAAAAGGAAACACAACAAAACATGACTGTGCCAAACATAAGTCAACAGAAAGGAAATGTTCAATTGGCCATCCAGTTAGGGTAACCAAAACCAAAAGTTCCAGTACCAAAAGTCCCAGTGGGACACTTTTTTGGTATTTCAGTACTTTCGGGTGGGACTTGAAACACTGTCTTTGTTGAACAGTTATGCAAATAGTCTGCCCCTGTAATGCAATACAACTGATGTCTTGAAAACATTTCTGAATTTCAGAAAACAACAATAAATGTGGTCAAATAATAATAATGTATACATGGACAAAGGAAGTGACCCAAGCTTTAACTGCGATCTGGTCTGAAGAAGCAGAGATCAGGATACGATAAAAAGAAATACAAGTATTTTGTATAATATACTAGGACAGCACGGTACTGGAAAATTTCTAAGTATTGCACTGTGATTTGTTGTAATAAATATTGGGGTATTTATAAAACTAAAAAGGAGTTCAACAAATTTCTCAAAAACCCATCTTGGAGGGATTTAAATAGCAAGGATGAAAATGATTATGATTGTTGTGTCTCGGAGAACGCATGCATCGCTCATGCAAAGGCAGCGGAGCTAAACTTTAAACTGATTTTTAAACATATACTAGATTATCTTGAAAAAGTAATAACTAAAATTGCTAAACTTGATCATTTTTTTTTCCTATGAGAGAGTAAAAATGTTTTAGCAAGATGTAACTCCTTGCGCTATAAGGTCCGTCTACAGAATTGAAAGAAGTCATCTGACCTTAATCTAGCTGACTGACGAAGAAAGAATTGCACACACACAACATCCAATGATGGTATTAATATTGCACATCAGCCAGCCCTGTAACATACAGCCACTTTGGTACTCTCAAAGGTCATTTAGAAAGATCACATAGAGATGTCAATCGCGATAGTGCTTTTTATTTTTATTTTTTTTTTACAATTAATTGTGCAGCCCTAGTTGCAACTCACTTTTCGTCACCATGTATTATTTTACACAATCTTATAAAAGTCTGCATGCCTGTATGTATGATGCTGAAAGACTATTGACAGTGAAAAGAGCAGGTTTGAGAATAAAATAAGAACAAAAACTAACATTTCCAAATAACTCAAGGTCATAAAGAAGAAAAGTTTGGAAACCCTTCTTCGACCAAGCAATTGAATGCATAAAACCTAGGAGGTTAAAATGCCATGCTTATTTTTTTTTTATTTTCTGGACCGGTCATAATAAAATAAACTGGAAAATGCTGCCATTCTTGTAAACCATTAAGTTATAACCATTGTGATAATGGTGTGAAGTGATTAATACACAGAGAGAAGCATGATCATAATGCAACATGATTGAGCAGAAACGTTCCTCAAACTCAGAACAGAAGAGAAGTCTGCCCTCGTTTCATGTGGGCCAATGATGACAAGTCTAACAGAATAATACGTGGCAGACAGTAAGACAGAAGTACAATCACCAGCTACACATTGAAACGGGACTTACAGAACCACCAACAGAAACACAACATTTTTACACAGAACATCTAAAAGCTATAGGGTATTATCAGCAATTAGCAGTTAAGCAGCAATTAATACATTTTACTCTGATTTGAAAATGTGTTCAGCAGAAGCAAGCAAACTTTCCGAAAGTGCTTTGAAAAAAAAAAAAAAAACAACTGGACTAATCACATGTTGCAAGAAATCTTAAACAATACAATTAATCATTTACACAAATTAAGAAATATGGGTGTTTGGTTTGAGAAAAAAAAAATCCATTCAGAAGAATTTATTGTTAGAGCAGTTAAAGTGAATACAGCAACCTAACTAAAACAATTAAGTGCAAAGTTGTCTTCCACAAGTAGGTCTCCTGCTATTTAAACATCTGTTTTGAGGTTTCTAGGTAATGAGCAGTAATTACCAAAAGGTTAATATTACATGTAAAATGTTTCTGCTCTTCTACTGCATTGTCAAGGCATTTATTGGCTTTTTCACCGCGCATCCAAATAATTCAAGGACGCATCAAAAGCCCTTTTGGGACATGATTAGTTTTACCCAGGGTAGTTCAGTACGTAATTTGTAAAGTGATCTGACTGGCCCATTATTTGAAGAAACATATGTAATTCCCCACAAATGACCACTAATAATTCAGTTAGGATGTTAACATCAGAGTTAGCACATACAAAAAAAAAGCAAATGACTAAAGAACGTTTTTGTGGGGGCCTATCCCTTTAACATACTAATCAAACAAAAGCAGAACTCTGTTTTTCCTCCAAACCAAACAGTAGCTTACAGTACAAATCAGTGCACACGGCATGTTGTACTGCTCGGCACCTACTGAAAACCTTGCCACAGAAGAGCCTGTGTCAGACTGTCAGATACCCATTTAAGCTTGATTTTAAGTAGATAAATGCTGTTTCAGCCTTACCAAACGGATGCGTGCCTTTATAGATATGACCTTATTACTGGGATGACAATTCACACTATTCCTATTACCGACAGAGGTCCGCGTTCACCGCAATGCAGAAAGCAATTTGAATTTTTATTGTGGAGGCTTGTAATAATTACAGAAATGGCATTTTCAGACTGGATTAAAATTACGGACCTCGCCGGTAATTGTTTCAATTACATCCCCAGGTAAAGCTAATACAGTCCGAATAGACACACAGTGGCTTTCCAACTGCAGCATGGACAACGCATTATTGACCTGTGATGTGTAAGGTGTTGTTTAACACCATAAGGGAAAGAAACTTACTAGCTCTTTTCTCTACTTTCACCCTCAGACATCACCAGACGATGCTAGCGTTCTATCCTACAGAGTGTTCTACAAACGATCAGTATCACTTACCACAGTGACCACATTTACAAATTCCACAGTCCATCCAGTATGCTCAGCTATCTGAAATATGACACACAGAGATATGCAATACAAATGAGGTTAATAAACACAATAAATCACCTCTTCATGTGTAACCTCTTCAAGGAAATCCGAATCCAAAATAAACCATATAAGTTACTAATACGCTATCCGAGCACCAATCAGTTGATATGCACATATAACTTGGGTAGCAAACTACTAATCATCCAAAGTAGTACACACACACTACCTGCTATGCAGCCCTGAGGTCTGCACACAGCCTGCAATTAAAGCGACTTATTTGCTCAAGTTATTCTCGTGCAAACAGAAGTCTCTGGCACTCCTAGAAGATTTGGAAAGTAGGCCAGTCGGTCTCTTGTGACTCTCTGTCGCCGGCATGAAGATGAATATGGGACTGAGTAAAGGTAACACTGAGCTCCCTGGGGAACCACCGACTCTGCCTCCAAGCACACGGAACGCATGCAGGAGGCCGTAACCACAACGGCTACGTACTTAAATGCTAAACTTCATTCCAGTATCCATCCTACAGTAGTAGCATTAATGTGGCAGTAGTAACCGCAATAATTATAATAACAATAAATCCAACTCAAAATGACCTTAAATGAGAAGGTAACCGAAGCTCAATTCATCTTCCCAAAATAGTACTGCAGCCAAACAAAGCCAGCCGCACTAGTCTGAAGCAATTTTTCTGATGCTGACATAAGGTTTGAATCGATAAGCTGATCTGTATAAATAAACCACCAACCACGGTGAGCCCACGTCCAGCCTCTGTACTAAGATACATATGGATTTCTTACTTACAAAGGCTGTATATTCACATCATGGATATTTGCCTTTTAAACACAATACAACAACCACCAGTCTGGGAACTACATATACCATTCCATCTTCCAGCCACTTATGCAGTACTGGTTCGTGGGGGAGTCTGGAGCTCATCCCAGACAGTAGAGGCCACATGGCAGGGGTACACCCTGGATAGGATGTCAATCTGCTGCAGGGTACACACTTACATACTGGCACGTCTGTGAAGCTTAGGAAAGCCTACAAGGCTCCTCCTCCCCATCCCAGTGAAGATCACAGCAGAGTTTGGGGGGGTGGTGGTGAAGTAGAGAGGAACTGGGAATGGCAGTCCAGCACCGGGGGCTAGAGCCCCGAAGATGATCTCCTCACCACTGCTTGGTAGTGAAAAGCTTCCACCCAATGGGCACAGGGCTGGACTGTCCCACCACACACTTCCTGGATGATTCAGTCCCCTCCCCCCAATCCGCACAACCCCCTTCCTTTGTTTATCAACACAGAGGGAAAAGCTCACAGTCCAAAGGAAATGTGAGTCACTAGAGAAACACGACGGGTCCTTCCAAAATCTCAGACTCAGGGCCCTGCAAAGCAGAGGACTGGCTAGCTGACGGCAGACGCGGGCGAGGAAGATGGCAGCCGGGCCGTGCCAGTACCGAGGGGCTAGCCAACAGGAGACACACAGGCGAGGAAGACGGCAGCCGGGCCGTGCCAGTACCGAGGGGCTAGCCAACAGGAGAGACACGGGCGAGGAAAACGGCAGCCAGGCCGTGCCAGTACCAAGGGACTAGCCAACAGGAGACACACGGGCGAGGAAAACGGCAGCCAGGCCGTGCNAAAACGGCAGCCAGGCCGTGCCAGTACCAAGGGACTAGCCAACAGGAGACACACGGGCGAGGAAAACGGCAGCCAGGCCGTGCCAGTACCAAGGGGCTAGCCAACAGGAGACACACGGGCGAGGAAGACGGCAGCCGGGCCGTGCCAGTACCGAGGGGCTAGCCAACAGGAGAGACACGGGCGAGGAAGACAGCACTGGTGCGGCCCAGCTGCCAAGGGGCTAGTCGACGGGAGACACACGGGCGAGGAAGACAGCGCTGGTGCGGCCCAGCTGCCGAGGGGTTAGTCGACGGGAGACACGCGAGCAAGGAAGACGGCAGCCAGGCTGCGCCAGTGCCAAGGGGCTAGCCGGCGGGAGACATGCGGGCAAGGAAGAAGGAGCTGGCACGGTCCAGCTGCCAAGGGGCTAGTCGACGGGAGACACGCAGGCGAGGAAGACGGCGCTGGCATGGCCCGGCTGCCGAGGGGCTAGCTGGCTACCAGCTGGGGAGCAGTCAATCACCATGCTGGGCCAAGGCTCAGTAGATAGAGTTTCCTCCAGCCCCACTGAGAGCTTTCTTGGCTCCATATAGGGATTTTCTGAATCACAAATGGAATGTTCCTCCACATTTAAAAAAGATATGCGGGACAAAATTTATTGAATTTCATAACGACGGACGGCAGAGGGACGAAGCCAGCCTTTGTTGGGCCAAACTGGAAGAGAGCCGGTTTAGGGAGAAGCGCCCGACAAACGAACAGAACAGAGCCACAGATCCGCCTGACGGCTCCTGCAAGCACCTGGCAGCACACGTGTCATAACAGAGTAATATGCAGCCTCAGTCCATGCATAGACTTGAACCTGAGCCATGGGCATGCTGACGTAAGGCAATTATATTATGGCTTTCATCGGTTCATCACATTCTCACCCAAAGCACATACGCAACTGCTTTCAAAGGTACAACAGAAGCTCCCTTTGGGGATTTCAGTGACATGTCAACTCCTAAGCAAACCACACACACACAAACATTATAGATGCAGATTAAAATCGGGCCCTCTTTGGAGCAAAACACTTTCTAGTATTTTAGGAAATTCTTAAGAAGAGTTAGACATTTTGTGGTTTCACACAGCACCACGCCATCTCTGGTTTCATTTCAAACCAAGCCATCAGCACTTAAAACATCTATAGGATGACACAGGCTTCAACACTAACCGCAACTTTGGTTTATGGGAGACTCAGAAATAAACCACCAAAACAGACAACGTTTCAGAGTAGCCACTGTGGCCTTCGGAAGGATATCTGTGGGCGATTCGCAACAGACTGCCTTGGAGAGAGTGGGGGAGTGGTAGCAAACACCCTTAAGAGGTAAATAAGACACCATACTAGTACTGAATCCAGACACCAAGCTGACCTTGCACTACTCAATCAGGCCACTGTAATTAAAAAAAAGATATCAAATAGTACTATGGGTGCTGTATTGACCTCAATTAATCTGTGCAAGCTTAGCAAGAACTCAGTCCTCCTTCATAGACTCTGCAGGAATAATTCAAATTATGCACAGTATCACAACTGAGCTATTGCTATTAACTTGGGGTTTATCATTTCAAATGAAACTCAATAATATGCTACAGGACAAACAGCAGTAATGAGGCCAGAACTACCACATACTCAGGCACCAAATCTCTGCAGCTTGAGTGGCAAAGGTCCAACTAACTTACAGAGACACATTCTGAAGAAGGTGTTAAGACCTCACAGCCACTTAAACATGCAAATGCCAGCACGTCGTGCTACTTTCCTAATGAACACATTCATTCATTCCCCTAGCAGAGAATCCCTTTCCCTCTCACTCTGTCAGGATGTTTGCTGGCTGGAGAGTGATCACGAGGATCATCACAGCCTTCGCAGACCCACTCGGCGAGTTTGTCTTGCTGAGCACGAGCCCCAAGCAGGTGCGCGGCGACTGCTCAAGGCACTCCTGATGAAACGATGAGACGCACACGCCAGAGTCTGCGACAGACATGTTATAAAACGATTCCCTGGCGCAAAGCTGCCAGTTCCGGCCCACGGGTTCATCGCAGCTCCTGCTGTTGCCCAGTCGAAGGGGATAATCATGAAAATCAAACGGCCATCTGAGCCGGGCTTCGTGAAGGCCCGGCTGGCTTGAGCTCGCTCTTGCTCTTCCGTCCCGGGAGGGGAGCGGGCGCCTGCGCTGCTTTCCCGCAACCGCCAGAAATCCAGGGAAAGGGCTTGTTAAAAATTCATTCATTTACAGCAAAAATAGACTAAAGCATCCAACTGAGCAAAAGCGAAAACTTTGGCTCCTGAATACCATTAATAATAAATCAGCTTCGAAAGCCCAGGGGTTTCTGCCAGTAGGAACGGAGCAGGCTTCAACCCACCTTAACGCACCTCAAGGTGCCTCACAGAGTCTAACAGCGCCTCCAACTTGTTCAACCATATTTTTTAAGCTGCTATTGTATAATTACCCAAAACAATCCACAACAGCTACACATAACTGAAAGCCTGAAATTAATGAATAAATAGTTTGATTACCATGGGTGCTGGGGGAGGGAGGCAAAGGAGACCCTGTCAAGAGGAAGGAGGAGACAAGTCGTTCCAATAATCTGGGATAATTCAGTCTGTCTCGTCCTCATTCCCAGGATACACTTCACTGCTCAACTGTGTTCTGCTTTGTTTTCGTGCCCCTGTAACTCAGACCCAAGTCCTGACACCAGCCCAATGAAGCATAGCAGCAAAAAGACAAAGCAAATGCCCGAGTGAGGTTCTCTCTCCAATCCGTGTAAACCCTGAACAGGAAATAATGCAGCTAACCAGCCAAACCCTTGGACACACGCAGTCACGTTTGCCTCCGCAACCCAAGAGGCTCTGATGATTGTACCAAAGCAGCTCCTGTGCATCTCAGGATGGCAGCAGCTTGAAGCCAGCAGAGGGGTTACGAGCATGGGTGCTCCGAGTGCTTCAGCTGACGCACAGCAAGGTCAGTGCTCCCAATAAAAGTGACTCCAAAGGGACAACAGCCTCCTCCCAAATGACTACAAAGAACACCAGAATGAGGGTCAAGGGTTCCTTTTTAGGAAACAGGCTGCCTGGGAGCATGCCAACCTTGAGCCACAAATCAAATTCAGGCATCTTTTAAACAGTAATGTACCACATAAAATACAATGGTCTGCATCATTTGCAGCATATAAAATGTGTTAATTGCAACTTTTTATCAGTAGCTATGAGTATTCTGTTGATATGCAGTATTACATGGGAACAGTCAATATAAACAGTTCAGGGGGGGGAAATAATGACATTAAAACCACCTTTTTTTTGCGATTCAGTAACACCACACACACACGCTAACTTGGCAGTTACCAATTACCTGCTGGGAAGCTTCTGAGCTGGGGGGGCACATTAGCCTTGCACAGGAGTCCATTTACCAACAGGGGTCTGATAACCCCATCTCACGGACGGCCATTTGAATAATCACTTCAACGAGGGGGGAAATTAAAAAAGGCTTTCTGGGAGACAGGCCGGGCAGAGAGCCATCGGCGCATTCCAAATGACCAAATTGGTATGCGTAAGGTGCAGGGCTGCCTGCAAGCCCAGTCAGAAGCCTGCGCACGAACACACACATACACACACACCACCAGATTTGTAACCAGTTTTCACACATTCACAATCACTCTCTGAAACGGGGGCGGGACTAATGAAACTGAACACAGAGGTTTGCGTCAAACGAAGCAGGTCAGCTTTGCTTTTCAGCAGCCTACACTCACTCAGTGAGGAGAATAAGGGGGAGAAAACAATACATCTTACACATACACATGTCGACATTCACAGACAGAAGCAAAAGTCCACTTGTGCAGGCTCTGTATGGCAAAGCTGAAAAGGCCCACAAAGAAACTAAACAGAATCTGTGGGGCCTGAAGCTGCCCATGCAAGGAACCGGGAGATCTCAATGCATAAACCTTAGTTAGTTGTTAATGCCACAAAATGTTTCCACTAGAATTCCTGAAACATGGGTAGCAATGGACATCATCCATCCTTTGAAACTCTGACCCCATTGCTCTTAATTCCCAAAAGCATTTTTAATTGACAGAAGTCAATTATCACCAATGACTGCTTGTCACAACATATCAAACCAAAGATTCCCTTTGACAAACAATCTTGCATTTTTCAGACACTGATCTACCAAGACCTAATTAGCTACAGATATTCAATACTACAGTATCGATCTTACTTCAAAAAGGATCCCAAAAGGGGTGACCGCAAACAGCCAACACCGCCCAGACCATGTTCCTCACAAATGGGTATCAGGAGAACCGCTGAGGAACTCTCTGCTGCCTCGGTCATGCTTTTGAACACCATGAAGGCCTTTGTTGAAAATTGTAAAAGCGTGGACATTGCTGCCCTAAGCCTACGGAACTTCAGCAAAAGAGGACAAAAATTCTGTCAATCTGCTTGCTAATACAATACAATGCTCAACTACCATCTGACACTAACTGTTAAGAGAAAAAGTCATCATAAATTAAGTGAGCATTTCTTATACCTAAGCCAGTAACTGACACTTAAATTAGGTTTCCGCACCAATTACGTAATTATTGCAAACTCCTCATCTCTACATCTCAGGCTATCCAGCTTTGAGAGTTCGAACGGTTATAAACAATCGACCGGGAGCCTCCACAAATGGCAATCAACACGATCCAAGGCAGCTGTCCTGTAATTAAAGAGCCAAATTGCTCTCAATCAAGGACATTTAAGCAATCCCACCAACAACACACAAAGTGGCTCAGGCAGGCCACATATGCAGAACGCCGGACAAGTAATTCTTTGGCTAAAAGACAAATGTTCTTATCACCGTGTCTTGGAAATCCAGTAACATTTACAAGCCAAATGTCACAGTTTGTACAAGGCAATATCCCACATCAATGACCCACCCTTTTTGGTCACAGGATAGATAGCATTCACATTCTGGTCCTAAGTCACATTTGCGTGAAGTTAATAGATTGGAAACACTTGATCAATAGTAACTTAACAGTGGAGCTGGGTGGTGATAAAAAGCTATAATTACACATATTCCTAGTGAACACCACCCACCTACCCACCGAAACACACACACACACAGTTAATCCCCTTTCCTCTACCAGCAAGTAGTGTACAGCAGTCTCGGAGGTCTACAGTCAATATGACACAGCTCTTTTTCAACAAATGCTACTTTAAAGAGAAGGGGGGGGGGTCCTTACAATTATATTCATTTCTTAATTCTAAATCAAGAGAACAAGCAGACTTTGCAAGTATAATTAATTCAAAATGTCATTTTTAGGCCACCTATGAGGGAATTAAAAAAAATGACCCTTCCTGAGAACTCTTTTACGTTACCAACGTATGTGAATCATCATAAGACAAATCCCCAGAAGCTTATTAACATCAGAAGGCAGAGTGCGCTGCGGTGGAGGGGTGTGATCGCAGCCTGTTAGTAGAATAGGCACTGATAACACACTCCATTATGTATTGGGCCCACTAACAATTTGTATGTACTGTGCATTTACTGATACAGTTTCCAAAAGGTACTTGGTTCTCCTAAGAACAAGACTGGCACCCATTCTGGTTGGTTTATTTTACCATGGTCGGCCTACATGTTTCCAACCAGCAAAGTAAATGGAATCCAAAAAAAATTTTGGTGAGGAGGGGTTGCAGTTAATCATATCCCCCAGCATCCTGTGCCTCTCATAAAAAAGGCTGGTGCTCATGGTGACCTCACACCCCTGAAAGCATGCCAGTGCAGGACTAAACTTCTGATACGGATGTCAAACACTAAACAGCCAAAGAAACTGAGCTCAACCCTCATTTTAGTACAATATTTAGTACAATGTTTTAGTAGAACACAGCAGAAAAAAAATGAACCTGTTGGTCATCATCACAAAAGTATCACTGCCACATATCAGCCACCTTATAAGTCAGTCTGATCTCTCGATAGACCAGCTGAAAACTGGCGCTCACACACACACTGACAACGGAAGGCTGAAAAAAATGTCCCATTCAACTGAAAACAATTAAATGGCCCTTACGACACCAGGCAGACAAATGGAAATTCATGAGAAAGGCTGAATATATGGTAAATATGGACCTGATGACATCTAATTCTAAAAATATGACAGAAAGAGTCAGACATTGAGGAAGCACTCTGACCCATCTGCACACCTGAAGGTCCAGGAAGGACAAGGTGGGGTGTATCAATTATAAATACCGCCTGTCTATAAACTGTCAGTGGGCGTATCAGCGCGGGATCTAAAGCAACTAGCGCACCCTGATTCCTGAGAATCACCGTATACACAGCAACCATGAAAAGTACGCCCGATGCTCGCATGCGTTTGCACGAAGCCTCTTTGTCTGGCATCAAAGACACGCGCTCACGACATACAGCGAATCTAAGACTTAGAACACAATTATCCGACAAAGCACTGCAGAAACCCTCAGTCAACCTATTCACCAGTCGTTAGAAGAATAGTCAAGTTTATTAATAATAAATAGATAAAGTTAACTGAACCAGACACAAGAGAGTGTCGTCCACCCTCACTGGCAAGACTGTCAGCATCCTCACGCGTGTCACCCTGAGCATCCACTCTGCGCATAACCAGACAGATTAACAGTAATACAGAAATTCAATACCTTTAATTTGCGTACAAATGTGGATTATAGTCTTCCCTGGAATCTGAAAAAACATGCGGGGAGACGCGTTAGGTACACGCAGAGGTCTTCTCACGTCCGAGCTGGTCCTCAGATGCTCAGCTCGCAAAGACTATTTCGCTTTGTGTTTTTGGCATCTGTCTGGCACCGTGCGGTACAGAAGCGACCGGCCAGCACCTGGGTTTCGGAAAGAAGCTGCGTTAAACTTCTCCTCACACCGGGCAGCCAGCGGGCTGCCGGCGGCACGACCGGTTACCTGACAGATGCACCAGCCCACGCAGGTCAACCTTAACCATCCCCTGCTTCCGAAGCGACAGGCTCCCCGTTGCCAAGTAACTTAACTAACCGCGTCGAGGTGCGACTGCGGCGCAATTTCAAGTGTTTTCCGCGCCAGCCACGTTATCCGCCCGGTGGCAGCTAACTCAGCTACCAGCTAACTAGCCGAGTAACTAAACCATTACCCTAGTCCCCTCGCTCCAAAACGTGACGAAGGAGGAGGTGAGGGGAAACTGTCAAGGCCCGCCCGCTCGACCCAATCCACGGGCTCGAGTGCAGCGGCGGCGGCAAGAACGCCGCTCTCCCCCCGGGCCTCGTTCAAACTCCGACCCCCGTGTTGCCGATGTCACTCACCGTGGTATGCTGAACCGGTCCAGGTTCACACTGAAACTGCGACTGTCTCTCCCTCCCCCCGGCCCTTCCGACCTCTTCGTCCCCCGGGGGGAAAAGTCCTTCCTCTGCTCCCCCCTCCCCTGGTGCTGGCGCGTCCTTGCGCGTTTGCGCCGGGTTGAGCCCACTTCAGCTTGGCCAGCAGCGTTGGTCAGCCTAGACCCTTCGTATCGGCTCCTCCACTTTCTGCCGTTGGCTTTTTCCCTCTCAGAAGCGAGCGAGCCAGCTAACATCCGGGAACCGCTCGTTCGCTCCGCCGTCAGACACCCGGAACTACTTGCAGCGCCAACCAGAGCGAGTCGCGGCGCACCAGTGCACGGTGCCACCAGTGGAGGTCCACATTCGCGCAGTTAACTAGCCCCCCAACTCGTCTGGAAGCTCTGGCTGTTTCACCTGTCACTTTGAATCGGCACATTAACCACTGTGAACATTAACCAATAAAAATGAAACTTTGCGTCTTGGATGAGAAAAAGCAAGATAGCGTTCATGCCGAGGCTGTATTCATTCATAATAAATATAAATCCATAAAAAATAAATTGTCATTCTGCACCGCAAGAAATATGTAATCCTCCGAAATAGTCTTTGGAAGGGATCTGGAAGCAATCACTGGCGCTAAAGGCGTTGTTTAAATAGCGGTTTATGGCATTTTCCCTTTTTAGAGGCAGAAACATCAGCGTAAAACATTTACAGGACTTTGTCATAAATATCGATAAGGTCCGGGAAATGTCAATGGTATCGCCATGTCACGTGCGCTCTAAAATGTAAAAACGTAACCAAAACCGTCTACCATTATTAATGCGTGTGAAAATACAAAGTATTTCACATTGTTAAAAGTACTGAACAACTCTGAGTAAAATACTGGACAGGTGAGAGCGGCCACAGGTCCCATGCAATGAAAAATCACTTTTATTTTGACCTGACTTAGTAAATATACGCAGGCCTACACTATGCTACTCTGTGACAAGTGATGAAGCATATTCGATTTCGTATATTACATAACCGGTGTTTAAAAGCAATAATACGCTAAATTAAAACTTGTGGTAACCTGCATAACTAGCAGTGCGAGTCCGTGATGAGGGTTTTACTAATCTGTTGTGTGTTGGAGCACTATGCAGGTGGTAAAATTCATTGAGGGTATACTGTATAATGCCTTATCTTCAAACAATTTCATATATTTTAATGCAAAATAGAAAACGAAAGCGAAGAGGCACATCAAAATATATTGCTGTAATGACATATGAGGTGCAATTATGTCATTTCTATTAAACACATATGCAATTATTTAATGTCATTACATTTTAAGCATACTACACCCAAAGAAAAGTTCAGAAAAGCTTCTTTATATGTCATATTAACTTACAAGGGCAGTCCGTGAAACATGTCTGAATCTGTGCATTTTACTGCTATACAGTCCCGCTCTGAGTGAACTAATACACATTAGTGATCCATCTGGAAGTTCAATATTTCATAAATGTGCCCAAAAGATATTTCCTAATGGCATACTTCACGCACACAATTTGGTGTAGTGAGAATATCACAAGTTTAATCATCCGAACCGTAAGCTGCAATTTCTCTGCTCTTTGATACTTTTGTTCCCCGTCAAATGAAAGGCATGTTTTGCTAATGATTTTCACAGCACTTTCTCCGAATTCATGCAACCCTGAGTTTTCATATCCCAAATTTAGACTTGTCGCCATACTCCCAGCAAAATGCCTCACCGATATATATCGAGTCAGTATTCTGTCTGACGGATGACAGGAACCATCCACATCAGATCTTTTCCCCGACACAGCGACCCTGGCCTACAAAACCACAAGAACCTTATCACTGGGGAAGGAGTAGGACACTACAGCAAAGCATGACTTATCTGATTACTGTGTTGTTGCCCTGTCAGGCTTTGTATCCGTCTTCTGTATATTGTGCAGGTCAAAATCACTGCAGGTAGAATGCATCATTAAACATGATACACCTAACTCAGTGCCATAGATACTCCTTGTATTGAACATGATTCTATCCACTGTCAGAAAAAAGGGTATAGCCCTGGTTCGGTTTTGTCCCCCAAGGTACAAAAACATTCATCTACCCCCAATGGTATAAAAAGGGTACAGTCCCAATGGCACAATTGGCAGACCCTTGAGGGTACAGCCCCAGTGACAAGTAATTGTACCTTCAAAGGTACAAACTGCTACGTTTTTCTGACAGTGTAGCACTATATAAAACACCACCTAGTTCCGCCTGTTGTAGAAAATAAATACATACCCATAGACTACGTTTATATATGTCTAAACTCTAAGGTCGTGGCTCCATTTGGTTGGCGGTTGGAGAAGCTGAGCTGTCCTGCCATCTTGTGGAATTTTGTGTTCATTGCAGAAAATTAACAACACCGTGCAAATGTACACTGGCGGTCACTATTCCATCTTAGACGGCCTTATTTTATTAAGATTATTGTATTTAAAAAAAAAAGCCACATACACAATGAAAATCATTTACAAATCACTGGCTAACCTACTGGGAATATGTCAAGATGTATCACATTTCTTGAAGAAGATTTTAATTCCAAAGTTTGAAACAAGCATCTTTGTGTGGAAATAAGTAGTTTGTGGAAGTAGTTTGTTTGAGGTGATGCAATTTAAATAATATTTTATTTAGTCTATTATGAGCTTCATTAAGCTGAAAAATAATATTTTCCTTTACACTGCTACAGTACATTTTTTATTCCAAAAATGTAGGACTACGGAATGTTTTTACTGTGCATATCTGAAGATTTTAGTGTTGATGTGGAATTTGGCCAAGTTCAGATAATGTGGATCAGGCTATATTTCTTATTCAGCTGTTTAGCAGACTATTTTATTTAACACAGTTTATCATTTTACTCCTTATCCAGTTATTGTACTTGGCTTAGTTTACCAAAGAAATTCATGTTAAACTCTCGCTCTGGGGCATCAGCAGCAAAGTACAGATTCAGACGAGAAGCGGTAACCAGTCCCTAATCAGTACGCCACCTGCTGGCCACGTAGTCTAATATCCATGTGATCCCTTTGGCTGGGGATTCTGTGCAGAATGGCATGTTTTGTTTAAAAAGGAAGGGGGCATCAGAATAACAATTAAACAAAGGCTGTTACAGCACAAAGCCAGAAGCAGATACAAATAAGAAAGGAAATGAAAATTAAGGGGAATCAGCCAAGGACTGACACCCTGGAAATATATTAACTAAACTACTACGAACTCAAACATTCTCAGAAAATAGGGCAACAAAGTGTACCTTTGCTTGTCACCGGGGCTGAACCTTCAAGGGTCTGCAAATTGTACCCTTATCTTTAGGTAATTGTACCTTTTAAGGTACAGCAATTGGCAGACCCTTGAAGGTACAACCCCATTGACAAGAAAAGGTGCAAAGTTTTACCCTTTTTTCTGAGAGAGAAAGCCTGATGGACCATTGGGGTCAGTGTCTACTGTGGCCAGTCTCCTATATGAGAGATGAAGATGAGGCTTCCATAGCCCCTCTCCTCCCACTGCTAAGAGCATCTTTAGAAGGATGAAGATGGAATGTGTAATGTGGATCTTTGCCAATAACTGCATTTCATGCCTTCAGGGAGCAATTCTCACGCGAGTTTAAGTCTCTCATCTGTGAATATTTTGGAGGTCTGGGTTCTATCTTACTGACAGCACAGCCGTGCTCTGACTGTAAGAGTTGGGTAATTCGGGTCCAGAGAGTAAAAGTCCAGACCGGGATTTTGTTTCAACTAACCAGTTGAGCATAAAGAGTCACAGTCACAGAGTACTCAACTGGTTGGTTGAAACAAAATCCCGGTCTGGACTTTTACTCTCTGGACCTGAATTACCCAACTCTCCTGACTGTCCATGTACAGACCTCACTGTACTGGCTGCATTGAATAATATGAACATTCAACAGAACATCACTGGTACCGAAAATGTCTGCTTCTGTACGCCGTAACTGTACTCCATTAATATACTGGTTCACAGTGATGGGTTTATCATTGTGTAATCCTATTAGAAATTGTCTTTCAGGCTGCAGAGATTCATTAAACTGTGGCAGTTGGATGTACATGACCTTAGTGGGGGATCACGGAGAAGGAGGTTCTGAGAAACTGTTAGGAATCTGGAGTTGGCTCCAGCTGGTAAACTTTTGATAGCATGAGGTCCTATTGATAAACTCTGTACACATTTCTCATGGATTCTCTTGGAAAAAACCACTGAGTCACTGACATACACATAACACAGGAATCTGCAAGGCACTTTCCATCTTAGCTTTGGTGATCTTTCCAAGTCTTGAAAGAACCAACCAGAACCTCTAGGTCTTCCATCGAGGCCTTTTCAGCTGCCAACAGTGGGGGTGGGATCTCAGCGGCATCTGATACATGATCTCACAGAAATATTTCCCTACTCCAGAAGGACTGCCCTGGGTGTACCTCAGCCTAGTGACCTATGCTGTCTGGGATAGTCTCCAGGCTCGTGCCCCCCCCCCCCCCACTGCTCTGATAAGCAGTTACAAGTCAGAAACATGTTCTCATCTGAGTGAGAATGTGATTTTAGGAGAAAAAAAAAAGGCAAATTAACATTAAAAAAATCACAGATATATGATGCATACGAGAAATAACTAAGAACATATATGATCATTGGTGGTCAGCATAAGCAACATATGAGTCATAATAACCTCAAGTGAAGACAAAGTGGGATGTCAGTGGAGAAGTCCAGGAACATAATTCTGTTTCTGGGTGTCTGCGACTCCTCAGACTTTATGATTAAAAACCCAAAGTGAAAACTTCCACTCATGGTGCAGCAACATTCCTTTGTAATTCACCTTGCACGATTGCATCACAGTCCACTAGTTTGTAGATATGCGATATGATAATTGAAATTGAGACAGGCTATAAACTACTGCACATTTTTAAGGCTGTAAACACTAACAGGAAAATCCACTTGGTCGAAGGTTAATACAAAAACCAAACAGTAGCAGTCCATCCATACATCTAGCCATCCATTCTCTGCAACTGCTTGTCCTGTTCAGGGTTGCAGGGGACCCAGAGCCTATCCCCGAAGCTATGGGTGCAAGGCAGGGAAAAACTCAGGATGGGGCACCAACCCAGCACAGGTCACACTTACACACCATTCACTCACACATGCACACCTACAGGCAGTTTGATAGCTCCAAATCACCTCTGCATGATTCTGGACTGTGGGGGAAAACCGGAGTACCAGGATAAAACCTTACAACAGCATGGGGAA